AAGGTATATCTTCTTTCATATGGTTATCAAATGATTTCGATTTTTTTATTCTTTTAAAAACGAGCTGATTAATTAATAAATAAGCTTGTTTTGAAAAATATAAACGAAGACGGCTATAAGACGGCCATAAATCGGTCTCTCTTAATAAGACGGTCTTTTCGATAAACTACTATTCTTGAAAAGAGCTTAAGACTGAATGTAAGCGGTCCAATGGCCGTCTCTTATAAAAGAGGATCAGAGGACCATTTAGATGACCCCCTACCACCCTTTAAGGTAGATAAACAGATAGATAAATAGATAAATATCCTCTACTTCCACTCCACTCCGCTCCACCCCTCTCCGCCCTATCATCTACCATTTCCTACTTTTCCACTTCAACCCCTACTCCATCCTCCCCCTCTCCCCTTCCCCCTCCCCCTTCCCCCTCCCCCGCCTATTTATCCCCCCCCCCTCCCCCCCCTACCTCCTCCTCTTCCTACTCCTCGCAAGCAGCACCGCCCTCGCGACCTGCGTCGCGTTGTACACGTGCGTCTGCCGGCACATGATGATCGTCGCCGGCGGCACGGGCTGCGGGAGCGGGAGCCGCATCACGTTGCCGCACTGCACGCCCGTCGCGAGCAGGCCTTGGCACCTGAAGATGCTGGTTTGGGGGAGGGGGGCGGCTGGGGGAGCGGGGGCAGGCGCGGGAGCAGGAGCTACGACAGGCCCAGGACCAACGACAGGCCCAGGAGCGACAGGTGCTACAGGTGCGACCACAGGCCCAGGAGCGACAGGTGCTACAGGAGCGACGACAGGCCCAGGAGCGACGACAGGCCCAGGAGCGACGACAGGCCCAGGAGCGACAGGTGCTACAGGTGCGACCACAGGCGCTGGCGCATCGCCCGGCTCGGCCTTGGTGAAATCCTCATAAGGCTCCACGGCCAGGTTCAAGCTCAAAGTATCTTCGATCCCGTTGGCAACGCGTAGCCGGATGTTGTCGAGCGTTGGCCGTTGATCAGGAATCTCGAACAGACACTGAAAGATCAGGTCTCGCAGGGCCACGCTGTACTCGTCGTAGGCCATCATTCTCAAGCCGTAGGTGGTGGGTGGCTGGTCCTCGCCGTCGATCTCAAAGTCGGGCAGGAAGGGCTCGAGGTGATCGGGCGGGGAACCATCGAGCGTCAAGAGTTGGTACATCATCGCGCCGACGGACCAGAGCATAGTCCAGGGCCCGAAGCGGCCTGCGATGGCCGGTCTCACGTCGTACCAGTCCGAGCTGTCCCATTGCGCTGTGAATTGCTCCTTCTCTGGTATTAGCTAGCTAGTCACCTTTCGAGAAGGGATAAGAAAGCGACTCCGGGCTTACAGGTGTAATGTATCCAGGGGTGCCGCGGCGTCTCAAGCCAATTCTCCTTTCGATATCATCTTTTTCAACTTCATCGTGCTCAACGATTGCCGCGACGCCAAAATCGCCAAACTATGATAGCCTCTATTAGTAGTCGCCCACCTGCGGTGTTTTTCTTCTCGGATGGAGAATGAAGGCTTACTTTGTAGACAGGCACGCTCATATGCTGACGATTCCTTCCGCCCACGAAGACTGTGATCCGTCGTCAGCCGAGGGAGCCCAAGGTAGAGATATTGGACTACCTACTGTTTTCAGGCTTGAGATCAAAATGCACTATAGGCGACCAGCCTTCAATCTTGTCGCTCGCCCAATCCCCTCGGCTATTTTCAGACATTTCGGAGCCATTCGCGAGAACGCAAATGGCGTCAACCATGCACTCGAATATGAGCCATAAGCTGAGCTCCGAGAAGGGTTTCTGTCTGTTCGGGCGTCAGCAAGATAACAAAGGGCCAGGTGAGCGACAGAGATGAGCGACAGATTCATCCGTACTCTACGATGCGCTTTTCCAGCAAATCCGAAAGATCCCCATTTTCGCAGTACTCCAGGAACAACCGGCGCAGTCTGCCATCGAACGCCGCGTCGAGGCCCTCATCGCCTACAAGGTCAAAAGCCTGAGCATCCGCGAGCATTCGCACCAGGTGGATAGAGTTAGTAGTGTCTCTGAAGTGCGTGAGCCATCGATCCTCGATGTTCATGGTGGTGTTCGTCGCCGGAGCGTCCGCTTTCAGCTCTTTCACAGCGACCTTGTCTAAATTTGGCTGCCTCCCCCCGGCAAGGCCCGTCCATTCCCATAAACCTACGAGCGCACTCGCGCCTTCACCGAGAAGTCGCTGTGGTCTTGCATCAGCCGAAAGCCCGTGATGTTTCTCCCAAGGTAGGACGCCTGAGCTTACAATTGCCTTCCAGTTACCGGCTCCTCCTGGTATGCCCAGGGGATCTTGGGCGAGGAAGTCCTTCATGTATTGTTCGGGAGGGACCTTATCGACGGGTGCGAGGACTCCTGGTGCACCATTAAACGTGATCCTTGGCGGAATAACTTCTGGTTGAGGTGTGTCTGGAAATGCATAGGGGTGGAGTCGGTAGTAGTCCTGCGCGGCTGCCATGTCAAGATCTCCTCCCTCCCCCCTATAATTGCGCCAGAAGTTGATTTCTTCCAGCATCGCTGGCGTCATGTTTGAGTTTGGTCTCGCTGGGTCGGCCATCTTTGCCAAGAGTACGAGCACGTGACTTACAACTTGGAAATGAACGCCAAATAGAAATTTAAGGTCCCTCCAACGACGGAGGTCATATGAGAAAAGATGATATACCAACGGAGCTTTGAGAGCTGATTGTGAGATTCCTCAACTATGCGTCGAGTCGAGTAATTCTTTGTGCTAGACACGGCGCTGCATGCAATCACTCCCACCGCTCAAAGCATCAAGCGACACAAGGACAACAGACAACAAGCAACTATGCAATTGTCAACATGATGCCGCCCCAGGCCCGGATTTCTGGTTTCGTCGGCCCGGATTCCGAAAGCGGACTTTTGACGAGAAATTGATCATTCAGTAAAAGAAATCACACCTCTCACCGCCTCCACTCTCATCTTCTGGTGCTAATTAGAGCGCAATAGCGCACGGCAAGAGATCTATCCACTTTCTGCTTTACAGAGAATGGTCGTCGCAACGGAACAACGGAATAATAGAAACGAGAGGACAAAACGGGCTCACTAGTCGATGATCACAAGGATCAAAAGAGAAGAAAAAAACGGAAGTGCCGAAGCAAAATCGAACGAGACCAGAGGCAAAAACTTCTCCACCCAGATGTTCAAGTCTGGTGAGTGTACAACACCACACACACACAAGATTTAGGCTGCTTCGACGAAACAGTAATCAGCCACCGGACCTGTGCGACCCGGGTGGAAGATTGGAATTTGGAAGGCAAAGCTGTGTAATTCTAGTCTCTGAAGTGTAGGCGCAGGAAGATTTCTCATGGACCAAGTAGTTAGCAAGGATAACGTCAGGCTAAACGCTACGAAGAACAATGCACCCGCAGACCAACGCTCGCGTAGTCAGCGGTAGCGACTTGGAGAGATGCTCAGGCAATTCTTTGCTTCGCGTCTCAAGGGAGCGATCTCTAAGCGATATCTAAGCGAAGATATGCAACGTCCCCAGGTAGTCGGTAGGGTTGTTGAAGCGCAGATGCCGGTCGAGCCCCGAGATAGCATCCAAATCCTCCTTCGCCAGATCGAACTGCGTTACCTCCAGGTTCTGCAGCAGTCTCGTCGGGTCATTACTCTTCGGGATCACGCACAGCCCTCTCTGCGTGGCCCATCTGAGCAGGACTTGGGCGGGGGTCTTCTTCACCTTCTCGGCAATCGTGGTTATGACCGGGTGCTCGAAGAGGACGGGAGCTTCCTTGGCCTTGTCCCAGCCGAGCTCAATGAACGACTGGGGACCGAAAGACGAGTATGCAGTGACGGCCATGCCTTGCTCTTTGGCGAGGGCGAGGAGCGTGGGTTGCACGAGGTATGGGTGGTGCTCGATCTGCAGCGTCGCGGGGCGGACCTTGGCATATCTCAAGAGATCCAGGATCAAGGCGCCCTGGAAGTTGGAAATGCCAATGCTCTTTGCTAACCCCTTGTTGTACACCCCCTCCATGGCGGTCCAGGTCTCCTGGATGCTGGCCGAGGACAGCTGCACGTCGTCCTTGCCGTCAAAGGCCCAGCCGGGTGGGTATCGGACCGCGGGATCGACGTACTTGAGGGCGACGGGGAAGTGGACAATGTAGAGGTCGAAGTAGTCGACGCCCCAGTCGGCCAGCTGCTTGCGGCAGATGGGCTCGACCTTGTCGCCGTCGTGGAAGGAGTTCCAGAGCTTGGAGACGATGAAGAGCTCCTCGCGCTTGACCAGGCCGTCCTTGATAGCACGGGCCACACCCTCGCCGCATTCCTTCTCGTTGCCGTAATCTGCGCGGGGGGGAGGGTTGGTCAACGTGGGGAATCTCGCGGAGCAGAGGGGCAGAGTGGGAAGATTAGAACACGGAGAAGAGAAGAACAGGCAAGTGAGTGACCAAAAAAGAAAGAAAAATGGTTCAAAAAAAAAGGAAGAGAAAAATAACATACCACACGCGCCATCGAACAGTCGGTACCCGACCTTGATGGCGTTGTAGACTGTATCGGCACAGGTTGCGTTTGCAACCTTCCACAGGCCGAAGCCAACCTGTGGCATCTCGACGCCGGTGTTGAGCTTGACGGTAGCCATAGTGCGGGCAGATGTGTCGCGGGGGGGTTGGGTATGGGGGTATGTATGTGTGTGTTTTTGGAGGGTGGAGGATCTGCGTTGGTGCGGGAAGAAGGGTGAGGATGAGGGTGAGGGAGGGTGAGGGAGGGTGAGGGAGGGTGAGGGGATGGGTGAGGGAGGGTGAGGGAGGGTGAGGGAGGTTGACGATGAGGTTGAAGGGTGGCAGCGAGGATGAGATGAGATGAGATGAGATGAGATGAGGGGTAGAGATCCAGTAGAAGATCGAGGGGTCGACGTGAGTTGGAGTGCGGGGAGTCCCAAGTCAAGAGTCAGCTGGTGTCGGTTGATGTCGAGAGGAGAGAATGGGGAGTGGATGATGCCTGGTGGTGGGTGTCTTTATCCGCAATGCCGTTTCGACTCTTCTCTTCATCCCCAACTGGACCAGATCAAGGTCATGTCAACAACCCATAATCCATCCGGATCCACCTGGCCCTGCCCCTCCCTCCTCCTCCCCCCTCCCCCCCTCCCCTCTCCTCCCCCCCTCCCCCCCTCCCCCTCCCCCTCCCCCACGACCATCCTTCAGCCGCCCCGACGCAGAGCTGGCTAAATACTACGTACTACGTAGCTACCGGTACTGTACCGTACTGTCACAGTCTCCCTCCCCCTTTCCCCGCCTCGAGCCCCTGCATCGCCATCACGGGGAGGGCAACCAAGCCATCCTACCGTACTTGTACCGGTACTTAGCCTGAGTTGATGTTGGGGTGCGTCACTGGGCTTGGCGTGCCGTGCGGCGGCTGAATTGAATTGAATGGAAGGGAAGGGATGGGAAGGGATAGAGTTGTACTTGTACTGTAGCCTCGGCTGAGGATAAGGATCAGGATAAGAATACTGTAAAGACAAGGATAGGGAATCAGGGATACCCAGAGATACCAGAAAGGCATACTTAAATCTAATCAAGGCGACGAAGCCGACGCGGCTGAATAGGTAGCTAAGTACATAGTACCGGTAGCTTCGGGTGACTGCTAAGTAGCAGCGAGTGCCCCGCCAGCACAGGGAGCGATCTCCAGTCCAGTCCCGTCCCGTCCCGTCCAGATCAGATCAGCCCAATCCAGAGATCCAGAGCCGCCATCCATCCATCCAGCCATCCATTATCCGTCCATCCATTAATACAATCAGTCAATCACATTTCCGCGCCCGGGCTTCCCAACCTTCGTGCTGTCTTCCATGCCTGTGAATCGTGTATCTATCGACCACCCCAATCTAGCTTTCTATGACACCCGGACGAAGGCTGTCACCGGTCAGCATTGCCTGCCTGCCTTTCCCATCATTTCCCATCCGTAGGGAGGGAGGGAGGTAGGGAGGGAGGGAGGGGAGGGAGGGAGGTAGGTAGGTACGTAGCGAGGTAGCTGGCTGGGTACGTGGTCGGAAATGGGTCAGCACTCACTAGCATCAATCTGCATCACTTGCGGCAGCGCCAACCGGATCTTATTCCTGTACAGCGCCGGCGCCCTCAACTGCAGCGGGCACCCTTCAAAGTACACCGTGTTCAGGTTCCCCTTGCCCTTCAGCACCTCCTCCACCTCGCGGAAGTCCGCCACCAGGTTGTAGCTCGCCCAGACCTCCTCCAGCTCCGCCAGGCCCTCCAGCCCCCTCAGACTCGCAATCTGGTTGTTGCTGATGTCCAGCACCCGCAACCCCTTGCAGTCCTGCAGGCCAGAGAGCGTGGTGAGTGCGTTGTGCGAGATGTACACCTCCTCGAGCTTCGGCAGCGTACTGAGCCCCGTGATTTCGCGGATGCGGTTACTCTGTATCGAGAGAATCTTCAAATTTTGGAGCGTCTCCAGCCCCTTGATCTCGGTAATCTTGTTCTTGCCCAGCCACAGCTCCTCCAGGCCCACCAGCGTCTCCAGGCCCTGAATCTCCCGGATCCGATTCGCCGCCAACTCCAGATTCCGCAGCTTCCCGAGCCCTTCCAGCCCCTGGATCACGGAAATCTTATTCTGCACAAAGTACAGGTCCCGCAGCTCCTTGAGGTGGGAGATGTGCTTGATGTGTTTGATCTTGTTGAAGCTCAGGTCCAGGTTCTGGAGGAGTGTGAGGGAGTCCAGGTTGCGGATCGAGGAGATCAGGTTGTCGTAGAGGTCGAGGTCTTTGAGGGTCGCGGAGAGCGGGGATAGGGCTTCGATGGTGGCGATGGAGTTTTGGCGCAGGCAGAGCCGTTCGACGAGTGCGAAGCGCTCGAGGCGGAGAGAGGGGATCGAGGAGACGCGCGCGTGCACACAGTCGATTTCAGTCGTGTCGGGCGGGTAGTCGTCCAGGAGATCTGTATCGTAGCAGGTTTGAGATCAGTATGCTTAGCTTGTAGAGTAGTTTTGGCAAGGGAAGAGAGAGATGGACCTTCGTCCGCCTCGATGCGCTCGCCAGGCAGCACGTTCTCCTCGTCCGAGTACTCGGGGTCTGAAATCGCCTCCGGGTTCACCAGCTCCGTCTTCTTCTCCAGCCGCAACTTCCCATCCCAGCCGCTGCTGCTCCGCGGGCACTTGGGCATGTCGTGGTCGGCGCCGTCTTCAGAGTTGTTGATCGAGATGTGCGGTGGTGGGGTCACTTCTCTGGATGCCGGGACTTTGTCGACTGGCTCCACCGCCAGTACGACTTCTTTCTTGTGGCCGTTGGTCGCCATGTTGAGGTTCGGGGATGTGTATTTGGTGTTTGGAGAGATGCGGTGTGGACAGCGCAACCCATGGCGTGGAGTTTGGAGATGGGAGGTTGGCCATGGTACGGTAGATGGGAAGATGGCGGGGCTGCTGTGACTTCACTGACAGTTTAGATGGCCCGCATTTTGATTTTTCTGTATGTGTTGGGCGACATCATCCTTCCATAACCCACGCAGCGACACGACAACATGCATGAAGGCTGTTTATCGCATCGCATCATATCCACGGTCGCAGCAACGCATCGTTGGCATCGTAATGCTTCGTGTGCATAGTAGGGCTTTCATCAGACAGCCATTTGTGGCCCGCCGCGAGGGTCCTTCGATTCCCATCCGGCCAGGACGACAGCACGCTCGAATGGAAGCCGGTCAACCAAGGTATCTGGGAAGCAGTGCTCCGTTTCTGTTGCCGCCGGTGATATTCAGTGGGTTGATCGTGGCGTTATGGAGCTGGAAATGCCTCATGATGGTGCTGTTCCAGAGCAAGATCATATACATGCCGGGACTGCCCCCCAACGCTCGCCGAGAGACGATTGCAGAATACAAAGGCCAATGCGGGGGTATCGAATGGAGAGAAGAAAAGATCAAGTCTTTGGACGGGACGAGGATCAGTTTGTTGGTGGCAAGTGTCAACGATGGGATACCAACAGCGAAGACGGTGTATATCCTTTACTTGCAGGGTTGTCACACTTTCTTCTTTCATGAATGCATAGGCTCATTTCTCGTACACAGGTAATACTTCTTCTCTCCCTCCTCGCTTACCATTCCTGTCTCCTATCCTTCTTTCCCTCTTAGGCCGATCACGGGATCTGGTTGTCAGATACACCATGGTCTGCTGCAGCTACCGAGGCTTCTGGAATTCTAAAGGTCGGCCATCAGAGAAAGGCATCGCCATGGATGCTGCGGCTTCTTTGGAATGGATCAGAGACCATTTCCTCCAGCAAGGCGGCAACCCTACAGAAGCCATCCCCGTTGTGATATGGGGCCAAAGCGTCGGCGCAGGAATAGCCACGAACCTCTCCGCCCGACAGCATCTCTTCTCGAAGTACAACCTCGCTCTCGACACCTTGATCCTCGAAACTCCATTCATCAGTGTCCGAGCTATGCTAGAGACTTTATATCCACAAAAATGGTTGCCGTACAGGCATCTCTGGCCGTTCTTGTGGAATCATCTGGACAGCTATGAGGCTCTGGGGGTGATGAAGCAGAGCCTCAAGGATGCTGGCATGGAAGCCCCCAGGACTCTGATCCTTGAGGCCGGCAAAGATGAGCTTGTTCCCATTGAACATGGCGACGTCCTCTTGAAGAGATGTTTTGAGCTTGGGCTTCAGGTTGAGAAGAAGGTGATTGGGGGCTCATTGCATACGGAGATTATAGTGAGACCGGAGGGAAGACTAGTTGTTGTGGAAGCCATCGAGGAAGTTGGCCGATCGTCGATATCACGTGGGCATAAATCGCAACAACATTGCAATTCCGATTAAATTCCGAACTCTTGAAGACGATGAGTCGATACTCCTTGGCCTTCCTGGCTCCTTTGTTGACACCAGGCTAGTCTGCTGCAACAAAGAATACTTTGGCGCGGCAAAGCCTTTATTCCAGTTTATGACTTCTTTCGCTTTGTGTTTCTCCCTTACATATTGCGATCTCGTGCCTGTCGGTAATAATCAAATTCATAGTCACTGGTCTGGTGGCTCTTGGAACATCATGGGTTCAACTTTTTATCCTAATTATATTGCTGAATGGAAACAATGGTTCAGATTCAACAACCCGAATGCAAATGCCGCTCCCTTCCCTGCCAACGCTGTCATCATGGTAAGTCTTGTCTGCCAGAATGACTGCTTTCCTTCCTTTATCTATCCTGATGCTGAACACGCATCACTTAGGCACAATTGCAAGGTTATGCTGCACCCCCGGCGCCAGTGGTTGCAGCAGGTCCCAACCCAGCACCACCTATTGTTCCGCCAGCTTTACCCATATTCGGAGCCGGTCCGCCTGCAGCTCCACCGCCAGCTGTTGTTCTACCTCCTAGACCAAGGCCCGGCCCAAGGGTCCCTGCCGTGGCATTTGTGCCATCCCCTGCTCAGGCAGCTATGCTTGTGGGAGGAACAGGTCCCCGGGCGTTCGGAAACACCTTCATACCTGACTGGAGGGCAGTCAAGATTCTTGGGGCCGGTGGCAACGGAGTCGTTGCGTTATGGGAATACATAGGATTGCCTGTCAATCGGCCGCCCGGCATAGCGCGACATAACAGGGTAGCCGTGAAGACCGCGACAAATTTTCAATTTCCGCTAGATGAAGAAGTTGATTTCATGTGGAAATTGAGTCGATCTGGTAATTGCGAACATCTTGTGCAATTGTTGAAATACCCAGCGGAGATTATGGACCCTGCGCGGATAGCAGCTGAAGGCCTTCACCCTCTATGGAACGGGCGTATCCGGCGACTGATTATGGAGTACTGTAAGCGGGGTTCCTCTTGGTGCGAAACCCACCGAAAGTAATGCTGACAACAGAAACTCACCTCACAGGTCCTCAAGGCTCCCTTGAGGACCTCCTCCAAGCGCGTCGTGCCCGGTATCCACCTTCCATCGTGCATCCACTGGATAATCTCGCTGACAGGATTCCAGAAATTTGCTGTTCGCTGAAGTCACGCTGTGGCACATCTTCGACTGTCTGATCGATGCGTGTAGTATCATGGATTTCCGCACAGAGCTTACGCTTGACACCGGTGGCCAGGCAGTCATCCCCCAAGGCTACCCTGAAGGCAATGAAATTGCAATCCATTTTGACGTGAAGCCTGCAAATAGTGGGTAATCCTCAATGCTGCAGCTGAACTTTCGGCAAATGAAGTTCGCTGACCCCGAGAAGTTCTTGCAGGTGATCGTAACCCAGGTCATACGACAATGCCAGTATACAAGGTAAGACGTATCGAATCTTTCTCGCTTGGGAAACATCGCTAGAGCTGATACTGACTCTGCCACAGATAGCTGACTTCGGGGTTGCCCTGTGGCTGTTGAGAGGATTGGGTCTCATGGCTCCCCATCCCACTTACCAAATGAACCAACAGTGGCGGAATCGAGGAACGTGGGCGTATAGGGCTCCCGTAAGTAATTGTACGCATGAGTTGCCAGGAAAAGGCCATTTGGCTAATCTTGGAACTCCCGGAATCAGGAACAATTCTCTCCAAGGTGGAATTTTGGTGACTACAACATGTCACCAGTCTGCGGCCAATATGGATCCGCAACCAACGTGTGGCAGATAGGACAAATCATGTATGAGTACGTTGGTACTATCTCCTGACAGCTACCACACACGTGGAGTGTGGTTCTGGCCCTGACAAAGTATTCGTCCGCTCGATCCGCTGACAGTCCGAGCAGATTAGCCTGCCTCACCCAGGGCGTAGCAGAAGTGCACATGCCCTTTCGACCTGCGTACACGATCGATGGGGCACCAGCCTTGGGAAACATATTCGGCACCAGGCTCGAAGGCCAGCCTCAGTACTCCAAGCAGCTGAAAGACATGATCCACCAATGTCTCTACGAGATCCCCGGCTTCCGACCCTCTCTCGTCGATCTCAAGACGAGGGTTGCCGAGCGCCTGCAGTTCTTTCTGGACCTCGAGACGCCCGCCGAGCCGTGGGAGGATTTGGGTCGCCCGGAACCTATGCCCCCGTGCGTTTTGGCCTTACCGTCCATTCTTTTCACTCATTCTTCAGGTCCCCTTTTGCTTGGTGTCCATCTCCCGCTTCCCCATCTCTCTCTCTCTCTCTCTCTCTCTCTCCATGAAAATTATATGCGTCAAGCTAACATCTTTCCAAGCGGACAACCGGTGCCTCCAGCCGTCGGCCTAGCTGTGCTGCAGTGTACCTGTCTGCGCCAAGACGCAAACATGGCTCGGTGCAAAAAAAGAAAACGAGTGCGTGCCGACCATCCGCGGCCCCGTTGCTTCGCCCATAAAGATCTCGTCAGGTACCCGCATGGGTTCTGATAGAATGGACGTGCACCTCGACCGGATGCGGTGGTGGCGGTGGCTTCCTGCGTAATTGATATGCTGCTCCAAGGGCACCACTCTCTTTGTCAGTGTCTCAATCGATGACAATTTTGAAGGGCTATATAGGTTTGTATAGCCAGCGGTGCGAAAGGGAAACGTGAAAGTTGACATGTTGCACAAAGGGGGCCAAAGAAACTAATGTATGTTGCTTGTTATAAATGCGGACTGTTTTAATTTTGTACGCGATGCGATGCGATGCAGGGCCAGAATCCAACCGTTTGCAAAATATATGTATGCGCCGTTTACGGAATTCTCTAGCTTCTTTCTCTGAGCAATGCGTCTGTGTGATGGCCCGTTGCCGTGTCTACATAAAACACAAGCGAGCTATTCTCGCCAAGCAATTAATTTACTCCTCCCCCATTTGGCGAAGTGGTGCTGGGGAGCCTATTTCCCTACCGTAGATATCTGTCAGGACCTGGAGCCTCCCCCTCATAGGGCTTTCATTCCAAACGAGCTTTCTCCATATCTGTGAATTGTGTACGGCGGGCACTCTCACCCATTTAGTGATTCGAGGGGGCCGGCCGGCAGGATTGCGTTGGCGGTACGGTAGCCGAATGCAAACAACGGCTTTGTCCTCCCGAAGGAATTTCTTGCCCAACCTTACTACTTTTTTTGTCCGCGTTTTGGATTGTGGTGTTTTATTGTCTCTCTCTCTCTCTTCTCTCTCTCTCTCTCTCTCTCTCTCTCTCTCTCTCTCTCTCTCTCTCTCTCTCTCTCTCTCTCTCTCTCTCTCTCTCTCTCTCTCTCTCTCTCTCTCTCTCTCTCTCTCTCTCTC